CATACGTGTGTCCATCGTCTCTCTTTATGTCCCCTCTGTTGGGCCTTTGAACCTAAACCGGCTCTGTTTTCTGGGTTTGTCACAAAAAAAGAAAAAAGAAAAGGAGGAGGGTAAAATGAACGCATCGCTTGCGTGCAGACGGATATTACCCTTTTGAAAGCAAAATAAACGTGTGTGTGTGTGTGTGCGTGCCCTGTAATTTCACTGTTGACATGTGCACTTACAGTGGGGATCTGGGACCCCGGTAATGACTGGGGCAGGTAACGCTGGAGACAGGTGGAGGACAGTGCTGTCTGTCCTGAAATAGAGAGAGTGTGTGTGTGTGTGTGTGTGCGGGTGTGTGTGGGAGTGTCAAACACACAACTGAGACACTGTGGCACCTGGTGATGTCATCGATGTTGTCACCAAGTGGTAGTAAAGTTCCCCTTTTATAACGGACGCCATTCCGGAGCAGCCGACTCAGACGCGCCGTCCTCCTATTGTGCTCTTCTACCAACACGCAGTGCAGGAATGTAGGCCACATATTAAAAGGAACAGTCCAACACGCGTGCATACGTCCATCTCTTGCAGACAGCAGGATGCCACTCTCAACATGTAGAGCGGCCTTTTACCACCACGATTGATAAAGCAACAGGCTGCCGTGTCCTCAACAGGTTCCACTCAATTCTCTCTTTGAAAATGTGTATTTATACGTCACGAATAGACAACTATGTGATGCACGTCAGCGGGAGCGCTGACACTCACTCAAGATAAGGGGCCACAGTTCAGAATACACGCCGGCATGTTGAATCAGTTCCTGCACGGCTCACGCACGGCCTTCTCGTGTCTTTTTTGGGGGCATCAAGGAGGAAGTTGTGTGTTTCTGTGTGTGTGAGAGCGTGAGAGAGAGAGAGAGAGAAACATTACCCCAGAGCCACAGTCACAGCACAGATCGGGTTCACCTCTGTTTGTTTGGTGGCCGTCCAAAAATATGGCAGGAATCCGAGAACGGCAAGCTGAATCAGCGAGCTGCTCCCGAGAGACAAAAAGGACAGAGACGGAGACACAACCTGAGGGGCCCGCACAACAAATGCACTCATTTCTACAGGCACCAAGCCGTGTGACCTCATCACTCTAAATATAAACATTGTTTTTCTTTGGTTAGCTGAAAGTTGAAAGGTAAAACGTCTTAAGTGGTGTGTGCGTGTGTGTGCGTGTGTGTGCGTGTGTGAGTGCGTGTGTGTGCGTGTGTGTGCGTGTGCGGATTTGTTTGCATCCTTCCTGGATGATGTGTCTTCTTGGGGGTCTGACACTTCCTCCTGAAAGAACACCGTCAAGCTGGTGTTCAGTAGGAAAACTATTCTTTAACTAAGGACAAGACGTTTTAGTCTAAGGTGATTATAGAGGTGCAATTTCTGTGAAATTGAGCAGGAAAGCGACGGAGGGCCATAAAAAGATTGCTGGGCAATAATTGCATGACTTCTTGGTACAGTTTAACTCGGAACTTGCTGAAGCATTTCTTACTGAAGGTCAGTTAAAAAAAAAAAAAGTTAAATCACCAGTAGTAATCTGTTTTTTCACGGCATGACGAAATGGAGGGTCAACAGAAGTAGGTTGAGTCCCTGGGGGGGAGGGGGGGTGGTTCCGATTAGTAATGTTTTTGATTTTTCTGCCTTCGTACGTGGGTTTTAAACATTCGTTTCTGGTGATTACCCAAAAAATAGTGAATTGAAAAAAATCGGGAGAAGTCAACCGGGATAACTCCGTAAAATCAAGTTTCTTTTCGAACCAGAGGCCCTGATGGTCAAACAGCACGGACCCCCCGGACGAGAGACAACGTGGTTGTTTTCTGAGGTCTGATGTTCACCAGAACTGTCTTCTAGAAGTAAGTGGACGGCTGTTAAAAGATCAAAGAGGACAAAGACGGTCTTCGGTGCAACTCAGATCCCATGGTTCATTCATATGTCATAGAAGAAACAAAAACAGCACCTGGTTGCCAGAGGAGGGTTCAATCCGAAGCTGCTCCTCCAGTTGAACCAGAGCAAAGTTTGTGAACGCGGGAGAGACGGAAGGACACTTGATAAATGTTCCTGTCTTCCCTCACACGCAGCCGAGATAACGCCAAGTGCATTTCCCTCCCTTCACTTTCCTATTCCGAGCACACAAACAAATACTAATTATCAGTCAAAGTATCAAATGTATCAGTGCAGGTCTGAAATTGAAGCCATATTACAAAATGAATCCTTTCTCGGAACGCTAATTCTTTCTTGGCCTTCTGGAATACTGTGAACGCGTTTGTTCGTCGACGTTGGACGTTACCCGTCGCTCCCAAACGGTCGGTCAGCTCAGCACCGGGACGGCGTCTTTTTTTTCCCCCTCCTCATCTCTGTGGGTGGTTTTGTCAGGATCTGAAAAGACATCTGTTGTGAAGTGCAGCCGCATTCCTATTGGCCCTCAAACCGCGATAATAACCCTCGGCCTGTCAACAGGAGCTCATCCACCAGTGGAGGGGAGATGGTTGGTAGACTTGCTGGGTGGGGCAGAGCTGACATTTATTTGCATTCAAGCTTTAAGTGGAAAGCAGGGGGGGGGATAAAAAGACGGAGAGACGCAAGTTCCGTCGGGTGTTTTTCTGTTGCATTGAAAATGCATTCAATCCGTTAACACAAGGCTGATATCACAAGCACAGCGCGGCGGGGGAAGAGGTGAGGGTGACGCGGGGCTGTGACGAGAGGATGGTCGTGATAGAATGCGAAATATTTCTCCTCGAGTGAGCCGTAAAACTTGGAGAAAGACGGAGGCGGAGGCTGCGTCCAACATCTCAGCTGCAATAGGTAATAAAAATGGGCTCTGCCTCGGCCACGTCTGCCAAAGAGCATTGTCCTCCTCCTTCAGGGGAGGCGGAGGGGAAGGAGTGGTCGACTTTAGCCCTGCCGCGAGAAACGACCCCAGGCAGGTAGACCGTGGCATAGAAATGACAGGGCGTAAGACACCGACGCACGGAGGCCCTGAAGGCAACCTCAGGCTGTGTTCAAGTAGTTCTCTGCTTTCTCGTTTACCAAAACGTACCCGTCTTCTGCATTTGTAAAATGCAAATTATCCTTACCGATAATTAAATGTAGCGTTGAGGTTGCTTTAGTTGTATTGGCTCACTCCCCTTCTTGGACTGCTGCCACATCAGTAACTGACATCAATATTTCTACCAGTGAGCGGGTTTCATCTCTTTACACGCTTCCTTCAGGGCAGTCCTGTTCATGTCTCTGTCATCCTGTCATTCTAAGACTGTCACGGGAAATATCAGGAAGTCTAATGTACACCAACGTCCAAAAGTTCTGAGTGCAATCTGCAGGACCCGTACGAAAAGTCCACGTTGTCGTTATGCGGCTTACTCACGCATACGCATATGAGTCACAGATGTAGTTGCGAAAAGGTTCAGATGGAGCTGCATTACTGAGGAGGTGGAGGAGAAAAGGGCTGACTGGAAGGTGATGACTGAGATGACCCAAGGGCGAAACAGCGCGAGAGAGCGAAGTGGATTTAAAATTACACGGTGGCTCATGTCAGCGGCCGTAATTAGCAGCTTGGTCAGGTGTGATGAGTGGGACAGGAAGCAGGAAAAGAAGGACAAAACCCAGCAGGAACAAAAGGAGAATCCAGGAGGAGCGGATATGACACGACACCTGGCAGTGCATTTATGAACTTTTGCAGAGAAAGTGGAATAGAAGAGTGTGTTCGCTCACAGACACACGTAGGATGTCACGTGCCGAAAGCGTGGAATACATGTCCAGAAATTCAGCTGGCTGGCAGCCCGCCAAGTTAAATGTAAATGCCTTTGGAGCAAAGAAACAGGAGCAGGAGCAGAACGGGGAGCGGACCGGCGAGAAAGCTGGACTTACAGATACAAGTGCAGCAACACACATTGTGGCTGAGCAGGAGGACAGTGTCCTGAAAGCAAAAAACACAGGAAAACAACACGTCAGGGTGTCGAAAACGCAGCCACCGGACATCAAACCAAATTTCAGAAGCCTTTTTTTATTTGGTGTCTTTTTTTAATTTGGTGATTTTTTTAAAGGCGCATATGAAAAAAGTTAACACAATAAAAAGACTACAATAATAATAATATTTCGGATTCATTTGTGCAACCTGCACACACACAAAATAAGACTTTTTGACATATTAAAATATTTGGAAAAGTGTTAAAGAATCTGAAGAAAGTGATTTAGTTGATTTATGTGCAATGATCTATATCTTTTCAAGGGAGTAAAAAAAAAGCTCTCACACTGTCCAAATATTATATATTAGGTGCAAAGTTTTTGTTGATTGACAGAGACGTGTTATACTCCCTTTTGTGACATTTCACTAGTTTACAACGAGTGCTGATTGGGTTTACCTTGTCACTCTGCCTGGAGATTTACAGCATCCGTATCAGTGAGTTATAGGCAACACTGACACATAGAGTGGAAACATTTCAGCCCACAGCAAACAGCAAATTCCTTGCATGACAATAAATGTTTCTGATTGAAGATTAGATTTTTTCATATTCAAAAAGTGTCACTTCACAAGAAGCTTTTTTATTTATTTGAAAAAATAAGACGATGATGAATCGTTATTTCAGGACATGAGGTCTTCAGTGTAGCTGGTGGTTTAAATACGGGGAGCGGCGTTTAAACCGTAACCCAAACAAGATCTCCTCTACGAAAAGACCAAAAGCTCAAGAATTGGCGTCTTCGTAAACAAACTTTTGAAACTTTGACACCACCCAACCCCAGAGATGCAGTGGGTCACTATCAGAAAAATGAAGATGTATTTGTCTGATCCGGACATAGCTGTCTGACACAGTGCCCCCCCCCCCCCAGGAGAAAGCCTCACACCCCGGGGCAAGAGAGTGACACACACACACACACACACACGCACACAAACACCCTCCAAGGAGGAGTCATGGGGCAGAGGGGAGGAGGGGGGAGGGAGCGCAAGAGGAAAAGGGAGTGTTATCTCTCTCTCTCTCTCTCGCTCTCTCTCTCTCTCTCTCTCAGAGAAGCGCACACCTTCCCTCCTCCCCGTGCAAGAAAGCAAGAGGAAGAGTCAAAGACTTCGGCGCTCAGTTCGCGGGGTCAGTCACACGCAGGTACACAGGATACTGAGGTCGGGCCCAGAGAGACCACAAGAGAGACAGGAGAGGACGAGAGACGGGGGGGACCGCCACCGGTTGCCCTTAGACACGCCAGCTTTCAAGGAGGTCACCGACGGCCTGCCTTATGTGTGGCTCCTCTCAAGGCTTCACAGTAAGTAAGCGGCTCCCTCAGAAGCATCTCATTCACGCGTAGATGTTTTTCAGACGATTCTATGCCGTTTAGCAGTTTGAAACACTGTGTCTCGCGGGACATCCTGTGAGGTGAAGAGTGCTTTCTAGCTACACAGCTGGGTGAGTTGACTCACGGCTTGATTTTTAGAATATAGTTTCTGCTGTGTCACTTGGTTCGCTGGTTTCGGAGTGAGCTGTCACACTTGTGAGAGTCATTTCGAGGCGGCTGTGGTGGCCGCGCGTCAGTAGAAAATAGGGTGAAACGTGTGAAACTTTTATCTGTGTTACTTTTGTTTCTCTCACCGATAATGAGATGGAAATATGTGGCAGTTGCAGCATATATGCCACTACCGAAAATATACATGCGATCACTGTGTGAGCTTTGATTATTTAACACATTTTCTTGTTGTTTTTAAAACGAGAAGGGGAGTGGCACTTTTCTATTAAAACAGGCCAACGGCTAAAAATGTTAGAAATATAAAAATAATATAAGAAAATATTGATTCAAGAAATACTGAATTTGAATTATTGAACATAAAGTTTGGTCTTACTTCAGGATGTGAGCGCTTACCAAATATAAGTAACCAACAAACCTTATCTATCGCTATCTCAGAGGCAAACTGATGAACGTGAATAACGAAGTTCTGAGGGGGGGGGGGGGGGGGGGAGGGGGCCACGCATTAGCACTGTCTTTTAATCACGAGAGTTTTTATCTTCTCGTCTTCCACTGTTTCACCGCTTCATCCCATCAATCGGGACACTGTGCCTTTGTCAGAGACGAGGCGGCTGACAACAATCTTCCAAAGAAAGCAGGGAAAGACAGATAAAGGGAAAGAGAAAGAGGCCGTACGCCTGGCCGAGAGCCAAGTCCTCGGCCAGTTCGGAGGAAGTCTGGTCCATTTACTGGGAGCGCTGATTTCCTTGTGAAAGTGGTCCCGCTCCGGGGGCTGACACGCACAGGGACCTCCCTCACGGCCCCGGGGTTGTGATTTGGAGAGAGGACGTATGGGACAGCGGGGACAGTGGGGGCGGTGAGCACGAAGGCCCCACTTTGAAGTTTGTTTTGTCCGGCAGCGGCAGATGATGGGAAAGGTATATTCAACGCCACCTCCCTAACATCCCCGTTTTGCCCCGGTCACATCTCCCTCCGAGATCTAATTTTAGCTCCATTCAAAGCTTCACTTCCCTTGGTACTCCAGCTGTTGTTTGCTTTGTCTTTTCTTCCTTATTGTTGTTTTAGGTAAAAGGAAAAGTTAAAAGTGGCCGTTAGATTTTTTTTTTTTGTTCAGATATGGAATAACGGACATGTGTCCCTATCTTATGTCTACCTGTTCTTTTAGGCCCCGTCCCAGTGCACCAAAGCCATGTTGACCTCAGAAAGTTCACTGCACAGCACAGGGTCACTGCAGCATGCGATGCCCGAGACACAGGATGCAGACATGACATCATGGAGCGAGACAACATTTGAGAAGAGGTGCACTTACATCGTGAAGGACCAACTTCTGGAGGAACTGCCCGAAAACAATTGCAAGACACGCGCTGAGAGATCCTTACCCAGAAACCTGGCCCTGAAACGCTGCCCCGGCTCTGCAGAGGTACACAGCGAAGCAAATCTTCCTCCTTTCCGCGCTGTTGAGATTTTCAGAGAAAGCGAAGTTGAAAGAAAACAATCCCTGTAAATGTGGCATGAAAGCATGTTGTGCAGTTGTTTATGTTTTGTGTAACTACCGACTCCTTGCGTCACTCCAACATCCTTCCATCCACCTCCATCCCTCCTCAGGCGGGAAACACTTGACATGTTGTTGTCTTATTTCGGCCTTCCCTCACTGCTATGTGTGCTTTGAGGTAAAGCCGCAGAAAGGCAAGGCCCCGGGCGCCTGAGGTCTCTATGATTAGTAACTACCTCAGATTCCCAAACCCTTTGTCCCAGCGAACAATTACACCGTAAAGCAGGGCACCAGCAGCGGGACCCCCCCCTCACGGACAGCACCATAAACAATCTTTTCGGAAGTGGGTGGCAGTCACGGGGATTCAAAACCGGAGGATAGTTTATGTTTAACTGGATGGACCGGGGAATTGCAGATAGCACGGTTGAGTTAATACATGATAAAAGATTATCCCAGTGGGGGCTATCCATGGCGAGGAAACGTTAGGTTTCTTTACACAAGATTAGGGCTGAGCCCCTGTGGATGAAAAATGGTTGTCAGGCGAGATCAGAGGAAGTAGCCTATGTGTCTAGAGCAAAATACCTTCTAATGAGGGCTGTCTGGAGTCTGGTTGAAACCAAAGAGCAGGATACGTTACAGTAATCTGTGACACAAGGGCACCTCGAGCAGAGCGGTTTTACAAAGAGAGGGTAAAACTAGCTGGATAGACTTAAGGTAAACTAAGCATGTCACGGTGGATCCAGCGACATGCACCATGACAGTATTGCTCCAGGATGAAAGAGAGACTACGTTACCATTGCTTCGGGGGATTTGAACCCGTCGCTCAAAGTGCAGTTGCCTGGTCGGGGTGTGCCCATGACATCTTATCCCCGCTCCCACATCCCGGAGGCTTGACGCGGAGGGGTTAGTTTCACACCTGGAGGTAGCAAAACAAGAGTGGTAGTGAAATTTTAATAGTGTAAAGAAACTAAAGATAACGTGGCCGATTGGCTTATGAAATATTCAGCATGTGAAGTAGCGGACACGTACTGTCCCAGTGAGGAAAAATACTCACGTTCTCTCGTTGCCACGACTGCCAACATAATAACGACAACAAATCACGTGTTAGTACCATATCTATTTTTCTACTTCTAATGAATTTCCTTCTTCGGGGCAGAATGTCAGATAAGAACAACTGTATTCCAGAGAAACGCTGCCCTTTTTGGCTCAGAGTACATCCGCATGTCTGGCTCAGGGCTCCAATTAGTTGTTTGCTGATTTCGTGTCCTCCTTGTTGAACAGGTGCTCGGGGTGAACAGCAAAGAGCTGATTCCTAAGGGAACACGTTTTGGCCCTCTGGTGGGGGAAAGCTACACTAACGAAACAATTCTGAAAGATAAAGACAGGAAGTACTTCTGGAGGGTAAGTGGGCTGCAAAGTGAATCTGAAATTTGTCTTACTTTGTGTTCACATCCAGCATTTCCATCTGGTGACGCTGCTCGTTCACAAGTTTAGCAGTTGTGGTCAACGCCTGACATCCTGTGCAAGTAAATATCGGCCTGCCAGTGCTCGGCTATACCTTTAAAAGCACCTGGGTCCGATCGGTTCAAATGTGCAATGTGCATGCACAGTAAATGTGTGTTTGCCAGTTCCCTGCATGGCTGCCTGAGGTCACAGAAAAACGCACACGCGCACACACACACACACACACACACACACACACACACCAACACAGCTGTTTGGTTTCAGTGACGCAGCGGTTCTCCACTCTCTCCGCTTCGCTCGGCAGCGGTATCGCTGCCAGTAAATACACCATACATGTGTCCGCGCTTCTTCAGACTCATAAGCTCTCACACTGACTAAGCAAGGAAGTGGCTTTGAGCCTGAGAAATGTTACAACACGGGGACATATTCCATTGCCCATAAGCGCCGGTGTAATTCTACAGTTCACAGTCGGCAACCCTTGAAAACGACCACCCCATCCGAAACAGACACAACAGAGACAATGTGTTAATTTCACATTCATGACTCAGATGACAGCGCCGCTTCAATGAGAAGATTGCATCAAGAACTGTCGTATAGGCCTATAAAGATGGAGGGATAAATCTAACAATGGGCTGAATACGTCACAACAAAAAGTGATGAAGGATAATTGTAGTAGGCGAGATAGTATACCTGATACTACTTCCAGTCATACGGTGAAATACTAAGTCATTGCTGCTTTCGTAACTCTATATGGTTTGTGTGCAGCAAATACCTCAGTACCTGAGTATTTACCATAAAGGCTTCAGGAAACCGTTGACATCATGGTTTCAGATTTCAGAGAATGTCATCATCTACCGACTCATCGCTCCGCTTGTTTTAAATATCACTGTAGGTCTTCTCTGAGGGGTTTTTGCACCACATCCTGGATGGTTTGAACGAGGAGAGGAGCAACTGGATGCGTTACGTCAACCCTGCCTGTTCTGAAGAGGGGCAAAACCTGATCGCCTGCCAGAGCGGTTTGGAAATCTACTTCTACACAATCAAACCACTTCAGCCGGGCCAGGAGCTTCTGGTGTGGTACTGCCGCGAATTTGCCCTGCGCTGCAACTACCCTCCTCTGGACCAACTGGCCATTGACAACATTGGTAAGCGCATGAAAGCGGATGGAAATTTACTTGTTATCTTATCTTATCTTCGGGTGATGCAAGGGCTGAGAGTGTCTTGTCCCATTAAGGTAGCGAGAACCCTTCCTGCGCTCAAGCTTTGAGACACATCTGTTATCGTGAAGTAAAGCTACCAATCAAAGCGCGGGCCAACCCCTTTGTCTGTCCAACCTTCGGCCCTTTTGTTAAAGCAGGAGAAGAGTAGAGTCCTGAAAGCTAAGACGATCTGTCTCCAGGAATAGCCACAGTACCTGAGGAAGATGAGACTTATTTCAGGACTTTAGGCTATGTTGCAGTTTTCCTTTTTTTCAACTCCACATAAAAACACAGTTGGCCACTCCTCGGCATACAAAGCTTTTGGCTTTCATTCACAAACACAAAGAGTACGCACGCCAGCGGAGACGCCGCATGCACACAGCAAAACACTCATTTACACGCTCTCACACACAAGAGGCTGCCCGAGGTGCTGACAGCATTCTGGAAGGACTCCTCTTATTTATGTGGCTCTTAAGGAGGAAGAGAAGTAGGAGCCGCTCCAGTGACTACTTGAACTTCCTGACAAGACGACCTGCTGACAGATTGATATCTCACCGAGTGCAGGCCGTTTGTTTGCAGAGGGCTGGCCCCTCAGGAGAAGGGGGGGGGAGGGTAACACGGGGGAGCACACAGATAAGAGCGGCTCCGTGTTTGTGAGGGTTGACGTCGATGGTGTCCAGGTGTAGGTGAAATGTGGATTAATACTTTTATATTTGGTCTTCCTCTATTTGTCAGCTCGCTTCCTTCGATTATGCTGGAGTAAGTCACAAAGCGCCTCGTGACTTTGTGGGTAGAGAGTGGAGCAAAGTGCTCAGATGAAATACAGGTTTGGATCTAGATTCCATGAAGGTGTTTTTTAAACGTCAGTGGAAAATAAACATTGGTCATAGTTCGGTTGTTGATATGTATCTTTTCCACCCCATTAAGCTTCTCTTGTTGATATCTGGATGACGTCTTTGGTTCTTTGGTGACTTGGGTCTTTTTAAGTAGTTTCTTATCCTGTGAAACACGTCTTGATCAGCATGAAACAGAAAAACATCCCCTGTGGTGGAGAAAATACACCCCCACAAACTCCATGCTATCTGTATCTTGATCGGAAGCCTATTGTTTCAGATGTGGTGTCCACTTTCATTCGAGTGTCAGGGCAAGTCTGGGAGATACAGACAGGCAAAGCCACACACGCCTTATACAACTCACACAAGATAAGGCTTTGGACTAGAGTGGGAGCCAATTAAAATGAAGATAAACTGAGATTTCAACTAGCAGCTCGTGTGCATGATCCCGTTAACGTCGTGGGTGTATGCGTCACTCAAAGGAATGCTGATACGGTTACTGAATGTCTGAAAATGATTGCATATGATTCTGATGTCATTTCTCTATTTATGTGTCCCACAATAGACAGTCGAGCACTGGGGAAGACAACAGGGAAACGGGGACACAGCGTCTCTGAAATCCTCAGAGACGAACCTTCCAAATCCCGCCCCAGACGTCTGGATAGACCCTTCTCTCAGACCAACGTCCCAGCAGTTTTTCCCCTGTGTCCCCGTGTTGTGTACCCGAACCAGCCCCAGTCAGATTCCATCCATGGCCATAGATATGCAAGTTTACCACCTCTGCTATCCGGCAGCCCTCCCGATAGCAGAGCTGACACAAGATCAGTTCTAAGAGGTCCTGTTCCCTCCAGTTTGCACTTCCCCATACAGCCCAGTCAATGCCCCGTTGTAGCCAAACCGTACCAAGAGCCTTCTGCGCATGATCGAGGCCCTCCTGCTCTGAGGCCTTCACCCTATCTGCTGCCTCACTACTCCCTCGGCCTCAACAGCAATCTACCTCACTCATACCCGTGCTACGGAGACGGACTGAAACCTGACTTAACACTCTCATCTCATTTGCTGCCTTTTGACGGGTACTCACACTTCCTTCATCCTCTGCCCAACAGACACAAAGACATGACAATTGCACTATCCAACACCAAACAAGACCTCATTCTTTCACCAATCAAGGAGCACAGAGACAATAAGGAACTTCTATCAGAAAGGACAAACTACCTCAGGTTCCATTCAGATGACCTTAGAGATTTCAAACACTGTGCACACAGCCATGTCCAGGCAGACCTGACAATACCGGCCACATCCAGTGCCTCATCCGTGGTCCCCTCAATGCGCAAAGCACTGCCTTCTAGTTCGCCTCTGGATGCCTTTAGAGACTGCCTTCCCTCCAAACCACCCTCTGCCACTGAGAGCAACACTGAGGATGCAATGGACCTCAGGAAGATCAAACGAGGTGGGCACATTGTGGGCTACAAGAACTTGTCTTACCCACTCAGCAGACAGAATGGAAAGATCCGGTATGAGTGCAACGTCTGTGAAAAGGTCTTTGGGCAGCTGTCCAACCTCAAGGTGAGCTTCTCTTCGTGGTTTTAGTTCAAATGGAAAATGCCTTAATTTAGTGGCTGTATTCTGACTTGCACAATGTTAGAAATGTATGGAAATAATTTGAATTTAACAGCAACTAAGGTTTTAAGAGTTTGACATAATTGTATCAACGGCAATAAGACTAATCTCTGACATACCATCCTCAGGTCCATCTGAGAGTGCACAGTGGAGAGCGTCCCTTCAAGTGTCAGACCTGCAGTAAGAACTTTACTCAGTTGGCCCACCTGCAGAAACATTACCTGGTTCACACTGGAGAGAAGCCCCACGAGTGCAAGGTATAACTATATCCTCAATTCTAAATGTTTTGAGAAATATTTATTCCACTCTATCACCCAAATGATACATGGTCAGAGCTAGCAGTCAGTTAGCTTAGCATAATGACAAAAAACTGTCCTAAAATTACAAAATCTGCCAACCTGAACCTCTGAATCTTAATAGTTAACATGGTATAGACAGTTTGTTTAATCCATACCAAAAATGAAGTATAAAAATCACTATTTCTAAACCACATTTTCCTTTGTTTTGACACAGGTGTGCCTAAAGCGATTCAGTAGCACCAGTAACTTAAAGACACACCAGCGGCTACACTCAGGTGAGAGGCCTTACCAGTGCAAGCTGTGCCCCGCCCGCTTCACGCAATTCGTCCACCTCAAGCTCCACAAACGCCTCCACACAGGAGAACGACCTCACAGGTGTCCCTGCTGCCCTTGTGCCTATCTCCACCACTGCAGCCTCCGGGTGCACCTCCAAGGCTTCTGTCCTCTCTCCCCCTCGGCCTCCCGCAGACACTCGCCGGAGGAGCTACAGCAGGTCAACGCTGAGATTGAGAGGTTTGACATGAGCGAGGCGGCGGAGCAGCTCGAGTTCATGGCCGCAGACGCCGAGATGGAAAAGGGGGACGTGACCGACTTAATAAAGAAGATGGAGACTCATACCTCCGACCACCACGGTGGCCAACAAGGGAAGACGGAGCTGAGCAGCGACAAATCAGCAAAGGAGTTTGCTGCCGATCTGCCTTTACCTCTGCATTCAACCCGCATCAAGCTGGAGTCAGGCTGCATATCAGAGCCCTAAAACAGGCTTGCTAATCCAGCCATATAATCCTTACAGGTCAACTCAGCAGCCGTCTGTTACGGGGCGATTTAAAGGAAAGCCTCATCTCAATTATGGATTGCCCAGCCTACGCTACAAAGAATCAAGACTTTACCAGCAGGGCTTGGGAACCGATGACGCGATTGATTTAATGTATACATCTTTGTTAATTTATTCTGTTGTTAACATTAATGTCAAATTTATAGAAGCAGTAATTTGTGGCATTTTCTCTATTTTTTTGTATCTCTGAAACATTTTGATTGAACAATATTTAAACATGTGATTTTCCATTAACCAACTTTGTCCTTTGTAGTTTTTCGTGTGTACATGTGCGTACTTAAGCCTCTTATTCAAATCCTGCAGTGTCACTGATCTAAGCTGTGAAGTGAACACAGAAGAAAACCTCACTTGTTTGCATGCAACATATACAACTGCCTTGTGATGACGTAGATAAACGTTCTGTTATAATTCTTGGGACACTCACTACCAGTAGGTGTCGTCCCCATTTCCCTGAAAAAAAGGACACACACACACAACAAATGTATCTTCACTATCAATAAGAGCTCGCATGTTCTTCTAGATGTTGTTTTCAGTTGGCTAGTCAGCTGACACACCACAATAAATGACTCTAGAGTGTATTCTGACATGAGATTACGTCGAATTAGCACTCGTACAGTTCATTGCAAAAGAACATTTACCGAATATTTATCGTAGACAAATGTATGAACGCACCGCAGATTCAGATAAAGCGATAGGCCCAAGGCGTGGCGTAGCACTGCTCTGTGACTTTATTCTGCCATGCTCACTAAACAATTCAATAGGGGTGTCAGGTGGCATAGAAAGCACCCATTTGCCGTGCTGGTGACACACTCCTGACCTGGTCCCTCCAGGCCCTCCTACAGGAAAAGCAATGGAAGAAGATGGATATTAATCTGTTTACATATAGGCTAAAATGAGTGAATCACACACACACACACACACACACACACACACACACACACACACATAAATCCAGCAAAACCCCAAACCTGGTTTGGACCCTTCCCCATTATTAAAACTAATAGGTTTATCACTGGGAAGGGTGCAGGACAGGTAGCTGTTTTCCACGGGGAGGGGGGACTGTAAAGTAACCGTAGACGCTGCTAAAACCGATGCCCCTTTAAACCGCGCAGTGACGTCACGTTATGATGGGGTGGGGGTAGGTGTGTGTGTGGGGGGTGGGGGGGGCAGAAGGCACTGGCAGCAGAGCGAGAGAAGCAGAGAGCGGAACGCACCCAGGGTGAAGGATGCCCGGGACAATGGCACCGGTTTATTCCCTCCCCCGCCTCCTCTCCTCCGCATCGTGATGAACGCCGCCGCGGCGGTCGCCCGCAGGATGCCGTCGGTGGCCCGGCGGGGCGCGCGCTGGGTAGCCCGCTGCCAGGCGCTGCTGTTCGGCGTGTCGGCGCTGGTCATCGTGGCCGAACGGAGCGCTCGTAAGTGGGCACAGAATTGCACGCGCCGGCGGTCCGACGGATCGCCGATGCGAGCAGAATTTCAACAATCTAAAAACAGGGCAGTGGGGTTGTTGCGTGCGTGGACGCGCGTGCATGTGCACTTGCGTGTGTGTGTGTGTGTGTGGAGAATTCTCGTTGGTTGCTTTGATGAATGAAAAATGTGTCGCTCAGCCGATCCGCGCTTCGTTGCTGGAGCTTTCCGCCGTCACCACGGGATTGAACGTTTCATGCACAGCATTAGCATTGCTCTGGTTGACCTCCAGGGGTCATTCAGCAGGGGTCACGCAGTCGAAAATGAATAAAATGTTTAAAAAAAAAACACCCGCAGTAAAAAGGGTTGCCCTTGAGTCGTAGAAATAAGCTATTCAGCTTATTATACGAAAACACAACATTGTTAAAAAGGTGGAAGGCAGGTGTGATGATTCCCTGACTCAGCAGATCAACAAGGGCCCGACACAAGAGAGACGAGGGGGATGTGTACACATTGTGGCTTTGCCTCCAGCAGGTAGCCTACACCATTCCCACAAGATAAAAACAAATATAACTATGCTGCTTCTTGCAACGAGGTCAGTGCTGCGCTGAAGAAATGACACGTTCAGTTCACAAAGATGTTGTTCTTCTGAAGGTGTCATTAAAGACAAATATTTGCATGTTGTGTTAGGCAGGTTTGGTCCCCGGGGGGGTTGCGTCTTATTGGCTGCGTCTTATTGGTTTTCCAGAACAACCTGTTCTTAAATTAAGGAGAAATTCACCTGAGCAAGCTGTGTGTACTCTTTAATTTCTCAAGATAAAAACACACGATGTTTTTTTAGGTGTTTGCGCGCCCATATGATGCATCACACCGCACTGAATCATAGGCATTCATAACATTAAGATCTCACTTGATATGGAAACGAAAAGAATTTACACCTGCTCATATCTGTGCATCTGTATCTGTTTTTCTTTCTGTGTACGTGTGTTAGTGATTTACTGTATTGGATTTTACCTTTGGAACGAGGAAACGCAGTGGGCGGGCATCACTCTCGGCCTTTTTCTACCGGGAACTGCAGTTCAGCTGCTAAGTATGAAATGGTACCATGACGACGGTGATGACAGACGGTGCTACCTCTCTGTCATACACATACTGCACTTGGGCATCTTCAAAAGGTAAGATCTTTGCAATTCTAGATGTTGGATATACCTAAATGTACCCTCATTCGAATACACACGATATTTAATCCAGTGTGCTAACGTAGACGAGAGAAAGCCACCAATTAGTTGCAAAAAAACTATTAGTTCTATAAATAGTCATTGACACCTTGAGCAGGAAGGTTACTGTGTGTCACCTCGTCTCTGACTCCCTCCTCTGGCAGGTTGTGGGACTGCATGAGGTCCGTGTTGCGCATGCAGGACTCGGTGGCCGAGCTCGGAGCCGCTGTCATGCAGCAGGCGGATGTGGCTGCTCTTTGGTTGCTGGAGGCCCTCGTCCTCACGCTGCCCCAGAGCCTGCTGCAGGCTCACGTAGTGGTGTCCACCGACGTGGGCATCATGTCCCCAGGTAACGTATTGGCTCAACGATGGGCGGTGTCTGAATAACAGATGGAGTAGTTTTCTTTTAGAGCTTCTCCTTCTGTTTTCCCCCTCAGTGGCCTATTGCTGCGGTCTGTGTGTGCTGTCTATTTCCTGGGCCTTGGTGCTGTACAGCCGGGCCTGCTGTCTGATACGACCGGGCCACCTGGCGATGCCGCCGGCGGCCCTGCTGTGCCAGCTGGTGTGGAGGGCTGGCATGCTGGGGGCGAGGGTGACTTGCCTCATGTTTTTCGCCAGGGTCTTTAACTGGTGGGTCTGTGGAGTAGCAGGTAAGCAGCAGGCATTATTGTGTTTGTGTGCAGCGAACACTTAAGGTCCGCCGTCGGTTTGAAGGAAATTTACAGTAAAATGATTTCTGTTTAGCAACGGAGTACACAAATGCAAATAGAGCTCAACGCGGCTAGAGATTATTCCTAATTTCTATCATTATATCAACATCATATTATTAAGAATCCTCAGCATGTCCTGCTGATGAACTTTTCCACTTCTCTGTATCGCTTTGATGCCACCGCATATGGATTACCAACTGCGCTTGTACCTCCTTGTCTGTGTCTGCGTCGACCTCTAGGTTTCCACTGGCTCACCGCCTCCTTCTGGCTGGTGTCCCAGCAGCCAGACATCTGCACCGGCCCCTGGTGTTGGCGCGCCTTTAATGGCGTCATGGGGCTGGTCCACGTCTTCCTCTTCCTCAACGTTAAGGACGGACCCTCGCGCTTTCGCATGGCCAGTTTTTACGCCGTAAGACACAACTTTTCACTGTGTTCGATTTCTGTCGTTTTTTTCATATTCCGGCACACACTCAGACCTACACACAGCAGCAGACAGCTTTCAATGTCACCCTCGCCGCCGCGTGCTTGGCTCACTTCCACCTAAGAGCCGTTCGCCGCGATGATGGATGGTGCGACCTTCTCTCCTCTCCTTTCAGTTCATGCTGGTGGAGAACGCCACTCTGCTGCTGGCCGCCTCCGACTTCCTCAGCGAAGCATCTTGGGACAGCATGACGCTTCCCGCCACCGTGCTGTGTAGCTTTCTCCTTGGTGAGTCTCTCTCTTTGTTTGCAACGGATTTGTCTGACTTTAAGTGGTAATCGTTAAGCAACAACAATAGTGAGGAAAACCTTTCTATCAGGTGCAAATATGAATGCAGACAGTAAAACTCAGTGTACTGAAATCAACTTTTCCCTCTTCCCTGCCCCGCAGGCGCGACCTCTCTCGTCCTTTACTACAGGTTCCTCCACCCAAAGTCAACTGAGATCTCCCAGGGTACCAACCGCGACCACATGGGCAGCACGTGCATAGAGCGAGGGGAGTCCTCGTTCTCCTTCGGGGACAAAAGTCTGCCGGCTGCCTCTGTTCAAAACCACGGCAGCTTCTCGCTCTCGGGCGTGGCTGGTTCTCTGCTGGAGCACCCGGGGACCTGCAGGGGCCGGGCTAACGGCTCCTGCCCGTGCTACCACCACCACTGGCTCCTAATCCGGCTCGCGCTGAAGACGGGAGACCTGGGAAAGATCAACGCAGCGTACGGGGCCGGCGGGGCGGCGGCCATACTGGATATGGAGGAGTACCGGCAAGAGTTTAAGAGCAACGAGGGCATGACCATCACGGCAGGGGGCAGCTGCGACGGGGTCTCCACGTCCGAGTCCCAGGGGAAAGGCCTGGCACCTCTGTCGGACTGCAAGGACGAGTTCCAGAGCGTGAGCGAGCCCACGTCCACCGACAACCAAGAGGACGAGGAGGACAGCCTGGAGATGGAGAGCCCGATGGAGTCGCCCGCCTCGGATTTCAAACGGAGCTCGCCGGAGGGCAAGTCCGTGTTCGGAGACAGCCCGGAGCCGTACTTCTGTCCCACAGAGTCCAGTTCCACCTTGTACTTCAGCGCTGACCCTCAGTCCCCCAGCAGCGCCAGCACCACCCGTTTGGACCGGGACACGGGAGGTCTTGAACCGGGGGTCCGCCTCAGCTCGATTCCCAGCGACCCGGCCCTCCACAGAGATGTCCGTGGGCTCATCGGCCGGGTGGGGCCACGCTGCACTTCCACTCCTAAATTGGACTCCGGAGTGCTGCACTCTCCGCCCACCGTCCCCCATCTCACTGGTCCCAGGAGGCAGCTCATAATGTCACGGAGGGATGAAGAGGACAACTTCTAGGTTTCCTTAGACGGAATCAGGGAAAGAGAACACCAGCTTTTTTGGAAGGCGGCTTCTCCATCTGCTCTTGCAAGTTGCCGGAGAGACACAGAAAGTTGAAAACCTCAGCAATGTTTTCATCATCAACGTGGGAATTAAAGGGCTGATCGGCCATCCCGTTGGTACACGGAGCTCCGTCACACCTTCTACCCGACTAAACACTTTATACTCTTTTGGTAGGTAGCGAGCTAACTTGAAGCCTCAAGAATCAAACTGTGCAACAAAGGGAACAGTGGTTCCACCGTATTGAGGAACCAGCCATGAGCTGTAGCAACAAACGCGCTTAGAAGTGTGCAGCTGTTTGAAAATCTTGAATTCAAATATTATATACCGAAGCTGCTGTTATTCGTGTTAATAATTACCAGCGGTTATGTGATTAGGGAATCTATTTCTAAATCAAAAGGGGACACGTCCGTGACTGACCTCTTCACCTTTACCATCTCAGCACAAGTCAGCGCTTTGTTGGCTTCTTAAGAGCACAAGTATCTTCCGTACCAAATGTTTATTGCTGTGATTTTTTTCGTATTCCCATACTAAGAAACAAATCCCTGGTCCCTTCAGGGAATAATAAACTGTATTTTTCGTATAATCAAGTCAACTGGCAGTGCTTTGAGCAGGGCCAGTGGAGTCAGCCTGGTAAAAACTGTGTTTGATGTTTTATCTTTATTTACATGTTGACCATGTAATTGCTAAGATGTTGTTTGAATTTACATTCTGTTGGGAAAATAATTCTCAGGCACTGATTTTAAAAGGCTTTCAAATGTGTAGTGTAAGTGGAATTGAAAAGATGCAAATGGTGTACTTGTAGTGACTTTTTTAATGTGCTCTTGATGCTATTTTGAGGGCACACGTGCATTTTGCTCATTTCTGCTCTGAAAAGGGGATGAAATCCACTGACAAAGAAGTGAGATGATGCAGGGTTTTCTCTTGCACCAAGGCGACTGCCTTCATGAAATTTTGAAATGTAAAGTGAAAGGCCACTGGTGGCTTTAGATAAGCAATAAATAACCGGAATATTTGGGTGACTGGCATACAAAAGTTTGTAATTGTTTTAATTTTTGTATTTAAGTTGTCAAACTAATCATTTTTTTAGTTGAAATGAGCATTTAAATACCATCAAGTATTTAGTTCAGTAAAATCACCAAATATACACTGTAGAAGTACTATGTTCCACTTTGAAATAATATATATTATATTTTGGAATTATATTTAGTGATACACTAATGAGAGCGGTACTTACATGTTACAGCTGTTGTAGGTGAAGCTACTGTCCTACTATATTGCTAGGTAGCCTAATAAATTATCCTAGTTTATTATTTGTCATATATGTATTAATAACATAACCCTGTAAAGTAACTTATGACATAATTGTAGTGGAGTAAAAGGATTAAATCAAGTAATTGCAAAGTATCAAAAATGAGGAAATACAAAACAAATAGTTGAGTGCAAGTTCCTTAAAATAGTACCCAAGTGTGTACAGCGCTTAACCATACTTCCTTTAAGCGGCGACTGTATTATCGGCTAGATGGCCTCGAGGAAGGTATTTACGGCGCTGGCCCTTTAAGACGTCGCGCATGCGCAAATTAGTGAGAAAGTTAACTCCTGAACTTCGTAGTCAGAAAAATTCAGATTTATAAAATAGCAGGGAAAACAGCATTGAGTTGACATGGCATTCCGCCGGAGAAACAAGAGTTACCCGTTCTTCAGCCAGGAGTTCTTAATTCAAAACCACGCCGACATCGTGTTCAGTTTGGTGATTTTGGTTTTGATTGGATTGATGTTTGAGGTGAGCTGATCTCCGATTCTCTCGTCGCGCTCAGCTGTTCTAAGATGGCAAGTCCGCCGCTCGTGCAAAGATGTAACTTTGGTGCAGGTCGGAAACTTATTCCGTGAAAATGACCTCTTGCTTTGTGGAAAAAACGGTCTCGTTTGACCGCAGCTCTCGCTTTCCTTCGGCGGCATCAGTTCCGCGGACATGGTGGCTGCTTGCTGCAGTCCTTTTATTTGTTTTTTACAAGTTTTATGAACAATGAATGTTGCTCTACTCTCATTCAAATTGGCTTTTAAACCGAGTCAGGCAGGAAACAGCTGTATACGGCACGGGACAAACACGTTTATTGCTTGTTAAACTGCGACGTGTTCAAAGTTGTCGGTATTTTGCTTCTTACTACTTTTTCTAAAGGAGTTCAATACACCGGGAAACGACTGCAAATTCGTGGCTTGGCACAACCACACGTGTAGTTTAACATGTACCTATTCTTCTCCTGACAAGTACGTTTTACCTCCCTTTTAAAAAAATCGCTGTCTTGTGCTAAACACAGACCTCTGCAACGTTTTGATCGCAAAATAATAGTAATTTCCCGCAGGGAGTCCAGCTTAGAACGCGGCAAAACGCACCTTTTTAGCTTTCAAAATAAAAGCGCCGCCTTAGCTCGCAATGCGATTCAGCCGACGTCGAACGGCGTGGGCTTTTGTTTCTAAAAGTGTAGCCGGAAGTGGTATGGCTTTTCGCTGCGGCCTTCACAGGGATAGTTAACTGCCACGTCTCAATCCTTTTTTTTTTTTTTTTTTTTTTGCTTTTTTGTTGAGCCGTTGCCGCTCGCGCTCCGTGGGGTTCATCCGCTGCTGGGACCGCTGAGTCCTGCAGGGATTCCCCATTGACATGCACTGACTTCCTTCACGAGAAACGGTTCTACCACATGGGGGCCGCTTGAGTTATTTTTTTTTTGTGTGTGCAGAGTTTCAATCCGGAACCTTGGTTTCAGATCACACGTGAGGCATAAAATAAGCAGGGGATTTCCTACATTTCCTTATTTCCCCCCCCCCTCTGGTCGGAAAAAGAGAAGCACCATGCTGGAGCTAGTTTTTAAATCTGACAGTCTGACGTTGCAGCCCTCGGCTTGCAGGGAGTGACTGGTGACTGAATTGTTGCACCGTGGGGCCCTTTTTTTAGGGGCCCTTTAAAACTAAAAGTCCCACCGTGTTCCCATCCGGATGCTCGGGGCCCCCGAGATTAGTGTGAGGGCCCCCAAGTTGATGAATGGGATTGGAGAGGCCATCTGAGACACATGACGTTTTGTGATTGTTAAAACCATTGATCCATTTTGAGTGGTGGTCCATCAGTTATGGATCAATCAAAATGTGCATTCATTTTCTGTTTTCAGCTTCTTAAACGTGGGCACTATCCTTTTTAATTTAACTAGTAACAGCTGCATAGACAAGTGGCTACATATATATAAGTATGTTGCCTTCCTTTTTTTAAAGTTAAAAAGCTAAAGAGGTGGAGAAACTTGCCCGTCGTGGAATAATTAGTGAAGCTCTTTTAGTAAACCCACTGATTTCTTTAAGCTCCCAACAGGTTGTGGTGCCTCAGGGAAGGATTGACTGACGATAGGATTCACACTCGCTCTCTATCCCCCCCCCCCCCCGACACACTCACACAAGCACACAGACGCCCGCCACAAACCACACGTTGTACACGCACGATGACACCTCGGAGACTGTCCTCTTGATGTTCTACCAAATATGCTGCTGCTGCTGCTAATTCCCATCTCATCCAATTGACCAGACAACAGCCAAGACGGCCATACTCTTCATTCAGCCTCAGCACAACGTCACCACGCTATCACCAGGTATCCGCCGCACTCCTGGAGTTCTTTTTAAACACTAAATTTGATTCAGTCTCCCATTATTTTCACTTCTGCTGTTCCTGCCTGTAACATTATATTTTATTATCTGAATTGAGCGATTACGTTGCTCCAGGATGTTTAACACACCTCCGTTGAAGGCACGTTGTGTGTTTAACCCCTCCCACGTGTGCTTAGAGGGCGAGGTGACGTTTTACCATTACGGGTGGAAGGACTCTGCCACCATCCTCTTCTACACCTTCATCGCCATCATCCTACATGCAGTCGTGCAGGAGTATCTCCTGGATGTGAGTATCCAGTCGCAGTGGCCTAATATACTGTCAGAGGGACGCACAGCATAGAAATCCTCGAGATAAATTTAAACCCAAGTACATTCATTATTCATACATGTAATTATATGTGCACAGCATGTGTGTGTCCTAATGCAACACCGCCTTGGCGAAATTTGTTAAATGATTACCCCTTTTTTAAAAGAATGTACACAGATGTAAGACATCACTGATAGCCAATCAATGGAAGGGGAAGATTGTAACCCCCCACCCCCCCCTTTTTTTTTTTTGCAGTCATCCACTTGAAAAACCTGCCAAAAAGTCTTATCCTTTCTTTTAATAATGTGCTGTGGATGAACATATTTGGACACATTTTCTCATTTTATTCAGGATTGAAAAGTCTCATCCAGTCGCACTTTAAAAGGACATTTTGAAAAGTAGCTGAATCGTAACATATCCCAAAAAGCGCAGCTGATACTAAATCAGCCGGGCTGACATTCAGGTCTATGAGGGTTGATGTTGTGAAGCCCGTAAGAGGGAGACAGGCCCTTGTGTAATTGTTTAGAAATAGGCCAGCGAGAAGGATCGAGGTGTTATTTTAGCACCGTCCCCACGATTTATACAAAGCGTCTTGAAAGGAATACTGCAGGGGAGGCTGTTTCGGCGGCTGACATAAATCGCTTCTGTCTTGTCCTAGTTTCTTTTACTGTGACATTTCCTTGTGTATGACAAATTGAGCTGTCATCCGGTTACGTTTCACGTGATCTATTGTCTTGTCTTGTTTGTGTCGTAGAAAGTGAACCGGCGTCTCCACCTCTCCAAGAGCAAGAATACCAAGTTTAACGAGTCGGGTCAACTGTGTGTGTTTCACCTGGTGTCGAGTGTGTGGAGCTTGTACATCGTCATAACAGTGAGTGAGATTATTATAAGTATAATATCAAGGTTAACTAGTGTGTTCATACGTACATATATTTGAAATATACAATCTCACCCCCATGAAAGACTATCTAAAGTGCTCTTTGATTTCTTCACACAGGAAGGATATCTGTTTCACCTCAGCAGTCTATGGGAGAACTACCCCCATCTCCACCTCCGGTATGAACGTTGAGCTGTATGCGTTTCGATAACTGCTCAGAAAGTAGATTTTGACCACCAAAATACCAAATATTTGCCACAGAGTGGATCGAGGGACTTCAGGGCCCGAGGTTGCCTGATGAGGTCTCACTATTCTCCGGCTGAGGGCTGGAAATGATTTTTAAAATGGGGGGGAAAAAATAAATAATTCAACAGTTTAAATTCAGTTACATCATCATGGGAGAATAATGAAACCAGGAATGAGTCCCTGGTAGTTGTGTAAATTGAACTGACTCCTTGTCCTCTTACCTTCTTCCCTGCTGCCTAAACGTGTTTTCAGGTTTCAGGTGAAGTTCTTCTACCTCACTCAGCTGGCCTACTGGCTCCATGCGTTGCCGGAGCTCTACTTCCAGAAAGTACGCAAGGTCAGTAAGTTGTGTGTGTGTGTGTGTGTTCATCTTTTGTGAGCACCCATTTCACATTTTGTCCAAATGGCAAAACCTCTCTTCAAATGGATGTTTTGAATAAAGAGTCCAGGTTTGGTATTTAATTAGTTGTGATGCTGGGAATGCAATGTTGATGCGTGCCCCCCCCCCCCCCCCCCACACACAACTACAGGAATGAGTGTTTTTATTGTTTTGCATGTAACCGCAGAGCGTGACTGGGGGTGGGGGGTGGGGGGCTCAAGCGTTGCTAAGTACAATATCACTTGCAAATGAAGGCGTTTTGTTTCCCCTTCAGGAGGAGATCTCTCGTCAGCTGCAGTACATCTGCCTGTACCTGCTGCACATCGCCGCAGCATATCTGTTAAAGTAAGCATCCAGCAGAAGGAGCTTTCTTTGTTGAGATGCCCTCAATGTCAGAGGGAGAAGTGAGAACAGACTCGTGTCTCTGCACCGCTCAACTGAGTGGCTCCGCTTCACTGCTGATTTGTGTTACAGAAATGACTGTTCATGGTTCTAGAAACCTGCGCAGATGTTCACCACTGGATGGTCTTCTTTGCCGAACGTATCAATAACCTGCTTCTTTCCTGTTTATTTGTTTTTGGCTCAGTTTAAGTCGTGTGGGTCTGGTACTGCTCTTCCTCCAGTACGTCTCCGAACTGGGCTTTCACATCGCCAGACTCTTCTACTTCACCGACGAGAACCATCAGAAAATGTCAGTATCCTCGCTCCTTTAGTGGTTTTGTCTTTTTTTTTCTTTTGTTTCAAATGATCAGCCTCTCCTCGCTACGACTTGGACCCCTTTTAAAAGATGAATTGATTTGTTGCTATGAAAAATAGTTAAATTGTTTCCTTGTTTTTGTTTTTTCCTTCAGGTTTGACCTGTGGGCAATCGGCTATGTGTTCACACGGATGGTCACTCTGACCCTGATGTTCCTGGCCGTTGGCTTCGGTTTGGCTCGTAGCGAGAACCAGGGCCTGGACTTGGAGATGGGCAACTTCAACACTGTACTGATCAGGTAACAACATGTGGCCAACATCTGTGCATAGTGACCCTTTGTGGCCCTGCTTTTACTTTTTGCAGTTACTGTCTCGTCCAAATACGCAGAAAACAGCTAAAAGCCTTTAATGTCTTCATTGTTCTAAAACATACATTTTACATGAATTTTACACTGATTAGCCAAACATGTCCTCTGTAACACTTTCATAACTTATTTCCATACATTACTTTTGAGTTGTGTATTGCACTATATTTATATAAAGTGTGATAAAAGACACCACATTTAGCAGATTACTGGAACACAGGGCGCAAATGTGGCAACTTCACCAAACTAAACCGTGGTTCCCTTGTCGTCAATGGCAACCGTAACTTTCAAAGCCCGAGAAATGTAAGAAATGTTGTTCGGGCCTGACCTCCGGCAATGTCTGGTCCATTTTTTTTTTTCCCTCCTCCAAAGCAAACAATTGCACTAATCTTCTCGCCCTGGGGCCCCTTCAGGATGACCGTTCTGCTGCTGGTGTGTTTCACCCAATCTTGGCTGCTGTGGAAGTTTATCCGCTTCCAGCTGAGACGCTGGAGGGAGTCCAGACTCGAACAGGCGCTCCGCAAGAAGGCCGCCGCTAAACAGCCCCTACGGCCGCTGAAGAGGGACTCGAGTGAGTATAGACGTGCGTCGCTCGTGTCCACCAGTGATTTGTCGTCTCCGAAAAGTTACAGGTGATCCTGACATTCTCACCTCTGTGTCTCCTGCCAGTCGGTCACCACGAAAACGGAGTTCTTAAAGCCGAGAATGGAGCCTCCCCTCGGAGCAAAAAACTCAAATCCCCCTAAGATCGGACGCCTCCCGGCCTGAACAGTGACCTCGGCCCCGGCCGAGGTTTCCCCACGTCACCACAACGGGAACGCTGGCGGCCGCGGGGCCACCGCGCCTCTTGTTGACAATGGCCTGAGATGATACGAGGACTCTGAAGTCGCTGCAGACTGATTGCTGGAAAAAGGAAATCAAAGGAAATCCCTCGAGCCCGACAGACATTTACTCTCTTCATCATATCAGTATTTTTTAAATTAGTTTTTTGTTATACACGCACGCTACGCCACGGATAAGCAGCACCATTGTTTGCAGAATGATTCAAATGTAAAGTGAACACCGTATGTAGCACACACACACACACGTCACCGCGTGTCCTTGTTGAATGTGTGTCCTCATGCACAAGTACTGTATTGGTTATGGTGTCGTCTGGGGTTTCAGCTGTTTTCAGTTCGCCACATTGAATTGGCTTTGCTTTCTTTTTCTGTTGTCTGGTCCATTGGAGCAGAAACATGTGTCTGATGTTGTATGATAAAAGCTTACTGTATGCCGACCTTAACATGCCTTCACCAAAGGCATTCGGGACAACCGATAGAGTGGTCACATGGGCAACTAATGTCCGTTTAAAATGCTGAATCCATCCCAGGTTGCTGAACGATTAAGCATCAAGTATGTATGTTGGATATCACGCATGCCATTCCATTTTTTTTTTTTTAATTACTATATTAAATGATGCAATTTTCAGAAGTTTTGTGACTTAAAGTTGTTTTTCTACATACTTTTTCTTTAGTTGCCAATGACAGTCCCTGTTGAGTCCTCCGCTTGTTTCATATTGATGGAAAAATGCACTTGATCACAGTTAAATAACCTTTCCTGACATTACGATTTTAAGGTATAAGTTTCAGACCACTTGGAATGTGCAACATAGCAGAAGGGCATTTTGAGGTCGACGGCTCCAACAACATGCAATCGATGAATTTCCAGAAGCTTTACATTCTTTCTTTCCTGCAGCCGTTTTCTCGCTTTAGTGCTTTTCAATCTGCCCGATCCGATGCAACGGCACGCTGAGAGTGGAGAGCAAGCGTGTAACAAAATGACAATTCTGTCGGCTTATCAGGAAATCGTTTTATTATGTTCAGAAACAGTCAGCAAAGGCTTTCCTCCCTCCTTGTGGTCTGTACTATTGGGGAGAGAACTCTCAAAGCAATGCAACCTTCCTCGACATCAGGAAGACGGCTCTGCTGCCACATCATCAGCCTGTGAAGGGCGTACGTCATGTTTGCGTGAGTAGAATTTTAGAAACGCTCAAAAGGATTTGAATTGGCTGACCCGACTCTCACCATCGTGGTCAGCTGGCTATTTGCCGTCTCCACGCCCAGCGTCTGGCGCAGAGAATCGAGTGTCTGAAGAGGGATCCGGCTCGCGTTGGACTCCAGGTACTTGAGCACGTTGTGGTCGGCTTCAGTCAACACAAAGCGGTGGCCGAAAACTACGAAAGAAAAAAGTTAAAGCAACGGATATGGTGATAGAAGCTTTAAAGGTTTTATTGTCTATTGAGTGGGTCATTTTTTTAAATGAAATGATTCCTTTTATAAATCCAGACATGACCGATAAGCAGTCTGAATATTACCCTCCACAGTCGCTCCAATTGCAAAGTCTGCAGGTGAGTAGAACTCCGGATCGTCCACTGTGGAACCCGGCTTGGGGATGCGCATCTTTTTCAGGAACTTTCCACCAATGATCCCGCGAGTGGGCTTTTCAAAAATACTTATCACGTCATCGGACAGGAAGTAGGACAGAATGAAATGTCGATTCTCATCGCCGGGGTTCGGGGAGTCCTGGAATGACGGGACGGCTTAAGCTCAAGCATCTTTCTCAATGAATTGGGCGTATTGGTGAACGCACTTTGGTGACTGCCAACAAATTTCTTTTAATTTGGTCAAAGAAGCGGCACAAGCAATTTCTCTCTCACGTTGACTCACCAGCCTGGCCCTGTAGCACAGAACTTTGTGTTCGTTTTCCAGCATTTTTAACACGTTCTTTTTGGGAGGCGTAGGAATTAATGAAAAACAATTCTGAAGCGAGTCCTCAGGTGACCCAAAACCGTTGTAGGGCGGAGCCTCCTGTGGATAGATAGATTACCTTATCAATCCCTAAAGGGACATTTAAAAACGTCATAGCAGCAATCCGCAGACAGAGCAACGTGATTTAGTCGGTCAATACATCCAACAAATGTACGATAAAGAAACACGGAAAAGTCACTTCTCCTCAGGTAGTAGTAGAGGTGGTGGAACTTCATACCTTCCTCCTCCCCCGAAGCGGGTCCTTTTTCTTCGGCACCTCGAAGGGTTTCATCTCCAGGTCCGGGTGATTCTTCTGGTAATACTCTTTAGTGAAACCGTCACAGTCATAAAGTAGGAAGCGACGGCCGAGCAGCGTTATCGGCTGTCCCACCCGGAAGTCTTTGGGGGAGTAGTACTCCTGTACCTCGGCTGCTGAAACCTCCAGCACGCAGCTGGGAAAGGTCCCTACGCGTGAAGATATACGAGTATGACATCTATTCATGTTGTTCTCTTTTAAAATACGGTTGTGGTTTTGCCTGCGCTCCAAAAACGTATATTTTGCAACTCACCAGACGCTTCGGTTATCTTGGGCAACTTCAGTCTGTGCATCAGGGCAGGGAAGGGAAACCGGCCGCAGTTGCGTTCGTAGACCTCGTTGATCTCCACCGTGTCGTCCACCAGGTGATACTGGATGGTAACGGGCGTGGTCTCCCCGTTCGGATCAGCGTCCTCCCACAGGGCAAAGAAACGCAGCACCTGACCGAGAAGAGGTTAAAAGCTTGGATGGGAATTGTGATGTCAAATACAAAATACCAACACCTGGTTGACAACGTGAGATTGAAGAAATGTCGGTGGTTTAGTACAAAAACTGATCTTGAGGTTGAGGGTTAGTACGTTAAATTCAGTTAAAATTGGCTTCACCATTACTGCACCTTACGATCCATCGTCAGAAACTGGTGCATTTTGTCGGCTCCTGCGGCAGTAGTGAAGGAAGGCCGGGGGGTTTTGCGCCGCTCGCTGCGCGGATCCACAGGCATCGGTTCAGGCTCGTTCAGAACAATGCCCTCGCTTTCCAGGAATTCCTTCACGTGATGAATGAGACACAGGGTATGCACACATCCCTGCTTTTGGACATGCGTGGAAGATGAAATATGCACAATGTGCATTGCTTACCTCGGTAAAAGCGTCGCACTGCGTGATGTGGTAGGTGACCCCGTACGCCTCCAGGTCCGCGCCGATATTGAGGTCTTTCCAATGGTAGTGCTCTCCACGTTCGTTCTTGGGCAGCCGCTGCCGTTTGATCCGTTTCCCCTGAGGTAATCCAGAATTCTCCACTACGGGCTCAATGATGCACATGCTGTCATCCTCGAGGTAGTAGTAGATGACCACGGGACGCACGTGCGACTCCTCTTCCGGGGAGAACAGGATATTTTCCTGGAAGTATGCATAGTAGCGCAGCACCTACAAGACACGAGGGTTGTACAAACAAACAAAGAATTCATTGGACAATGAACGCTAACAGCTGCAATATTCCAAAGAAAACGAATGAATGAATAGTGATGAATAGATAATGAATGAAAAGCGTATTGAACCTTTTTGTCAAGGGCCACGTGGGCTGGGATGAAGTCTTGGACTAGGCCCCGGTCAAAGGAGCCATAAGTAACGTCTGGTGTCTCAAAAGACAACTCACTGAGCTCCTGCTGGATCAGCTGTTCAGATAAAAGAGGATCCTGTCCGATCCCGACGGTTGGGCGAGTGGGCAGAGCACAGCCTCTGCTGTACGTCAGCGTCTGGGGACGATGGAAGGCTGACTTCTGCAGAGAAAAAATAAAAAATAAAAATATATATATATATATATATATATATATATATATATATATATATATATATATATATATATATAATAGTCGTTTGATCCATATGTGAAATCATTTCAACCACTTGAAGTCTGTAAACTATTAAACATTTTAAATGTTATCCTTTAAGTGTATTTATAGTGCCCCCCAACCCATCCCCATACAAAAGACACAATTCAAATAACTGTTTTAAATGATCAGCCTTTCCCCGCTACGACTTGGACCCTTTTAAAAGATGAATTGATTTGTTGATTGATAAACGCTGTTTTAATGTGAGCAAATCTCATTGAAACAGCTGGATTTATATATAAGTTATATATAGTTTCTTGCCGGAACTACATTTTTTGAGATCACGTGTGACAACACGACCACGTTCTAATTTCCCTTCTCTTCGAACGAGCCTATTAATCCGCCTTTCGCGTGCGCACCCTCATATCTAACGTTAAATCACATGGTTGGACGTCTTTTCATCTCGTCCGTGTTTACAATCCGCATTCAATCGGCCCGGGGCCTGGTAATGTTTGTCGTTCCCATGGCAACGAGTGTCAACCGACGTTCCCCTACAGCCTAGTTTAACCAACATTCTCTCATACCCCCAATGACCTTAATGCATTGTCACATATTGTTAAATTACAAAAAAAAGAAAGATACTCAGATAAAACACAGGACTGGTCTCACCGTTACATCCAGGAAGGTGTATCCCGGGAGAAACGGCAGTCCGTGGTTCCAAGACATGAGGCCCGGTGGAGGAGAAGTGCGCCTCGGCCGGGGGGAGGCGAGGAGGCGGCGGCACCAGAGGGGCGTCCAGAGAGAATGAAGAGCAAACCAGATGTGAGCAGCTACTTACTGTGGAGTCCGATCTGTCAGCTGCTCGGAGCTTTATTCGTTTAGAAACCGTCTGTTGATGGCGAAGTGTTGTTAAGCCCCGTAGCCATGGCAATAGGGATGAGGGGCTTTGTGTTTGCATTTGTAAAATGTCGCACGTTCTAAAATCCTGCGCAGGTTTGCTACATTTAGCATTATCATATGAACAAAAAAGTACGACAATATTCATGTCACTTTTTCAAACATTTAAAGAGAAATTCATGCAATAACTTTTCCAAGGATAATGTTTGGCAGTAACACAAAGTTGTTAAATAATATGTTAAATCTAAATGTAAATGTTAAATGTAAATGTTAAATGTAGATCTAAATGTTAAATGTAAATATAAATGTTGAATATAAATGTAAATGTTAAATGTAAATGTTAAATCTAAATGTTAAATGTTCACTCTACATATCTTCGCGAGGCAGTTGCCACAACTTTACGACAGCTGCCTCGACTTTGCACCGATGGTGCCTCGACAGCTCCCGTTTTATTTGCCAAATATGTGATATTTTTGTTTTATAATTTGCCTTTAAAAGTACTAGTTTTGGTAGTTATTATTTTACTAATAAAATGTCAATAAGTGATACAACGGCTTCCCATTTTAGTGCAGCTAAGCTAATATGGACTAAGATCACTTGTCGCCCTGGTTACAATCTCTACTTTGAGAACTAATCAATGGGTATGTGATTATATTAACAAACAATAACACTGGGTGGGTGCCATCAAGACGCGTCTACAATGAAATGTCGGTATACAGGCCACAGTTTGTCCGACTGGGCAGCGTGCTGTCTAATACAGTGGTCAGTGGTACTGGAGCTCCGCAGGGAACTGTTCTGTCTCCCTTCCTGTTCACCTTATATACCACTGACTTTCAGTATAACTCGGAGTCCTGCCATCTGCAGAAATTCTCTGATGACTCTGCAGTGGTTGGGTGTATAAGGGATGGACGGGAGGAGGAGTACAGGGCAGTAGTGGAGGACTTGTGGGCGGGCAGAAATCACCTGCTCCTGAATGTGGCCAAGACCAGAGAGATGGTGGTCAACTTCGGGAGGAAGACGATGGCTCCGCTACCGCTGAGGGTTCTGGGAGAGGAGGTGGCCATGGTCGAGGACTACAAGTACCTGGGTGTCTCCATCGACAACAGACTGAACTGGAAGACCAACATCAACGCCGTCTACAGGAAGGGGATGAGTCGACTCTTCTTCCTGAGGAAGCTTCGATCCTTCCATGTGTGCAGCGAGATGTCGGAGATGTTCTATCAGTCTGTTGTGGCCAGTGCTTTGTACTTCGCCGTGGTCGGCTGGGGGAGCAGCATTGGAGCCGGTGACACCAACAGACTTAACAAACTTGTTAAGAAGGCCGGCTCCATCATTGGCTGCAAACAGGACAGCTTGGAAAAGGTGTTGGAGCGGAGGTCACTGAAGAAACTGTTATCCATATTGGATAATCCTGACCACCCCCTCCACCACCTGCTACAGGGACAGCGGAGCACGTTCTCCAACAGACTCCTTCAGGCATCCCTGGCCAAATAATGACAATAATAACCCTGTACTGCTGTGATGTTGCTGCTCTTCCTCTTCTCCTTTTACAAATTATTATTATTGTCTCTTTTGGAAGGTTATTCTTTTGTTTCAGTTTTAGTTTATTTAATTTAATTTAATATTTCTATCTTATTATATTGTATATAATGTGTATCTTTTTATTCTATTTTCTTCCCTGTACATGCTGCTGTGATACCACAATTTCCCTCTTGAGGGATCAATAAAGTATCATCTATCTATCTATCAAAGACTCACAAAGGAACCAACCAATAGCCTATCCTCCACGGCATACAGCAATTGCTCGTATGTTAAATTTAATTATAGTGGTTGTATCAGAAATTAATCTGCAATAGCCATAAAAGAAATATCATAAATGGAATACTTTAATTTTAGTGAAGAGAAGATGTCCAAATGTTCCACCAGGGGGCGATCAACACCAAGAAATCTGACTGATCTCACCAACGGCAAAGTTAGTGGTGGCCTTACTATACAGTGTGTCAACTCTATATTAGTAGTATGGCATCATATATTAGATATATGAGCAGATCATTATTTATCCATAAGTACAGTGAAAGTATCGGGCTGTACTGCGCATTAACAGGGGGCATTTTTAAATCAAAACAAAAATAATTTCACAACAAAATGTACAGGATTAAACAAAACAGTGGGCACGTTATTTTGAACACAGTTTATTCCAAGCACAGAGGTCATGTTTTGGTCTCACTACCAGCTATCAGCACATTGTGACCCCATTCAAATTTAAGTACAATAGCCTTTTTTTGAATAAAAACTATATAGAGTGTCAGTCTTTATGTGGATGACCCTAATTTGTCCTCTGTACTCTCAATTAAACTCTCAGTCTGGAAAATACCAAGCTTTCATGAAAACTATCATTATTTCCACGCTTGAATACAAGGCAGCATGAACAGAGCTGGATTTACAATAGCTTATTTGAACAAACTGGCAAGATGGTTTAGGTTGCATGTCCTCTGTGAACCTTTTTTCAGTGCTGGTTCCTTCTCCAGGCGGCCACGAGCAGCGATCACCCCGAGCATCCGGTTCAGCACTGCTGTCTTAGAAATAAGGGCACGGTTCACACAACATCGGAAATGTCGCGAGGACTGGAAAAATATTTCTAGTAAATTCACTGGTACAAAATAGGCATATTCTGGTTACATACATTTACATCTGGGGACAGCAGCAAGTGCATAGCGTGTCATGGAGGCTCCGCTTCAGCAAAGCAACGTTAAGATACGTTTGGGATGTCCAATAATAAATTATTAGACAAGTTGTTTGATTACACACTCGGCAATCATGACAGTGACTTAATAGCTAGAAAAGGCACTGCGCTGTAGAATTAAACATACTGTATCAAAAATAAAGTTAAATCACTAAACCTCTTTGAGGCTGAATATATATATATATATATATATGATATTTCTAATTATTTTCTTTAAATGCTGACATTAGCTGTTTAAATGGGCTGAACGCCTTCCTAGAAGCAAATACATCAACCAAACACAGAAACACTAGGATTGCATCCCTGAGGTGCCAGACAACCGTTGCCGAGTATAAAAAAAAAAAGAAATCTCACGATAAACCATACTTGAAAACAAAAATGCACAACATCAATAAACTATTAAATATTATAAAATAGATTTCATAGGGTTTGAGATGATTTCTCCCAAAATATATTTTGGTTTTTAAAAGTTCAAAAGGCAGCGCGGTTATTCACTGTGGAAAGATTGTCTTACGTTATCCCATAGTACCCTTCTTTCTTCCCCCCCCCACCCCCTCTTCCCCCCCTCCCGCCCTCTGTAAAGTCCACACTTAAATACTGGAGGAAGCTCCGAGTGTCACGGTCTTCTGAAGAAACAGACCGCTCCGGGACCTCGGCCCTTCGCCGTTGTGTCGTTTCTACAGGCCTGTGTGTGTGTGTGTGTGTGTGTGTGCGTGCGCGCATGTGTGTGTGTGTGGTGCGTGCGTAAGGCAGCCAACCCATAAAATCCACACTTCAAAAGGGGCCGCTGAGGTCAGGGCCGAGGCGCCGCAGGCCCATCACCTCCGGTCTTCCTGGGGCGGACGGGTTGCACGCATCGTGCTGGACCGGGGAGCTCCTTTCTCTTACTGAATGGGGGACGCAGCTCCACCCCCCACCGCCCCCGAGTCGGCGACACCTCCGACCTTTCTCATCAGGTCGAGTCTGTGGCCTGCGCGCTTGCTCGTGAAGCTGCGTGAGGGCCGCGTCGCCTTTCCCCCGTCCTAAAAGTTGCTCGGGTCAAGTAGGCTTTCTCTGAAATCCCCAATCGGCGGTCCTCAGTAGTACCTGTTGAGGCTCCTCGTCCCGGGGATGTCGGGTTGCCCGTTCATCCAGATCTCTCGGATGATCCGCTCCCGCTCCTCCAGCCGCTGCGCCCTCTCCAGCTCCTCCGCCGACGTGAACACGTTCATGTTGAGCGTGCGCTCGAACCGCCGGTGGCGGCGCGCCGACAGGTCCGAGGTGGTCTCCCAGTCCGAGTCCGAGTCGCTGGAGTCGGAGGACGATTCGGCCGGGCGCGCCCGCTTCTTGGCGGGGGGCCGCTGGCGGGGCTGGCAGTCGGTGCGGCAGGAGATCTGGACCACCAGGGCGAAGAGGGTGAGGAAGAGGCCCAGGCACACGCCGCAGACGAAGAAGAGCGCGGCCCGCTCCGGGTGGCCTGTCGGAACGGGGGGGGGGGGGGGGGAAGGACAGAGGACGAGCAGCTACCATTAGTTGGTTCGTTTGAGAAAAAGCGTCAAAACAAAAAAATCAACAGTGCGTTTAGTGAAATCTAATGTTATTTTCAGGCTCGATCAGTGGCTCTCAGCTCCTTTACAGCTCGTCCAGATTGTGGATTGTTACTACTCCTATTGTGTGTTTGTGTACATTCATTCCACTGGCAGCATCACACGATGACTCAGCCACACGCCGAGTAACGAGACCCTGTTTATTTCAGGTCATTAAACATTCACATTCACCATATATATATATTTTTTTCTTCACCCCAAAGTTGGCGTGAAACGGCACACTCGAATACTAATTACGCTCCCTGTGGTGGAATTGCGTATTTCCCCGTGTTGGGAAAGGAGGTCCGCTTGAGGTCTACTCGCGTGATGTCACACTAGGAATCCGGCCCTACCTGATATGTAGTTGTAGGCTGCCAGCGCGTTGCTGATGAGGGCCATGTTGGCGCTGGAGGTGGAGTTGATGACGGGATTCATGCCCGGGGGCGGCGGTGGACTTTTTCCTCCACTTCCTCCTCCTCCTCCTCCTCCTCCTCCTCCACGTCCAGCTTCTGCAAACCTCTCCTCGTCGGGGTTAGTCTCCCTGATCTTCTTTCTATCTGCAGAAGCAGAAACAGTTCAGTTCAACAACGCGACGTAGACTGCGTTCATTTTACATTCCATTCTTTATATAGGCACAGATGTTTTTTTTGTTTTTATTTAAGTTTCCTTTGCACATGCCTCCACTCTGAGGTCATGTGACTTCGCCGCTGGTGAGCTCAGTTTCAGTAAAGCCAGGGTGTATTGTCTCTGAGCTTATTGTGACTCCAGCATTCAGACCCACTGAGTCATCTTCGGTCTCCCGGCGGTTTTTCGATTCTAAGGAAACGTGCGCTTGTGTAAAAAAAAACAAAAAAAAACAGGCACGTGATTCAGAAGATAACACCGCATCCGCTGCTGTCAAACTCATTCTCAACAGACCCACATGGGGGTAGGGGGGGGGGGGGGGGTGCACTTTGGCAACATTTTAAAACTTTCCCCCAAATCTCAGAAAACAATCTATTCATAGATTCAACTGTTCACGGCGGCCTGCGTTCCTTCTGTGTTTACGCGCCGTGGAGTCGAGCTCAGCAGGGTTTGGTTTGCTTTGGTCGGTTAGACTTAAACAAATCTTTCTCGGCGGAGTCGCATCCACTTAACCCGAGGAGGTGTTTAGGTTGGAGATGTCACTAATGTAGATTTGGCTCTACGAATAAGCAATGCGAATCAAAAAACGACTCTTTTACAAAAACAGAAGTATTCCCTCCAACAAGCGGAGCCGTGACCCTTTGTGCGCGTGTGCGTCGTCATATTAAAAGGTTTTTTTTTGACACTGTAGGTTTGCTTTGCCAAAGTGTCACACACACACACACAAACACACACACACACAACCTCTAATTGCAGAGTCTCTCAGGTTTGTCAGGCTCTCTTTATCTGATAAATGCAGCTTAGACGGGAATTGCTCACTGAGGAGGTAAATGTTTTCACCTGGACCCTCGGCTGCACATCGGCGAACATTCAACCCACAGACATTAAGTAACAAATGTACAAATTGGGAAATTGTCAATGTAAGACAAAGATTTCTAGAAAAAACAATCACAATGATTGAAATGTTTTTTTATGGAATATTTTATCATTATACCCCCAGGGGAAATATATGTTAATAATACATTTATGTATTTTAGCAAAAAACAATTCAAAGACATTTAAACCTTGAACTAAACATGATTTATGAGATTGATATTGAGTATTTCATGGCGTGTCAAGAACCGACACAACAAGAGCAACTGGTGATGCAGCTGTTTTATAAACTAACAGAAAGATCCGATCTTTCCACAGACAAAGGATTATCAGACGATCTGGCTACAGTTTAATATCCCGTGTTCCACCGTCGAACCTTAAGCAGGTTTGTCTAGATGAGCTTTAAGTGCAGCGTCTGAATGGGTTACGAGGAGGGGAAGCCGTGCACGTCCCGTCCCGCTCCCTCTCTCGGCTCCTCATCCATCCGTCTGCCCTCCTAATCAGCACGGTGCCGGTAGCTGAGCAGAGTGATTATTGTGCCGACCCCCCCCTCCCGAATGAAGCCCTGTTTATCTCTTTCCTTTTCTCTTCCACTTCATTCCCTCGTCCCTCTTTCTGTCCGTGTTGAGACGGCAGAGCGGACGGATTTACATGCCGGTCGTGTCGCTGTTTTTAAATCACAAAGAATCACAAATGCGGCAAACCGGACGGATGCGGTTGGATGTACATGTGGAAGACATTTGAAGCCGCGTGGCTTTTCAAACAAACAGACAGAAATGCCCCGATGTGAGAGCTGCATTACCGAGGCTGTTTAGTGTTAACTGCTCTCCACGGGGGGTTGAGGGGGGAGGGAAGAGCGGTGGCGTTCCTCACTTTGCTCACCTGGCACGGCGTCGGGGCCTCTGACTGAGCTGCCCTCCGGGGGGCTGTCTCCCACTACGTTGGGGTCACGGGCGCTGGGCGGACGCGGGTACACCGGCGGCCGGGGCCCCGGCTCCTGGAGCAACTTCTTTGGGACTGTGGGAGAAAAGGGATTCAAAGAAAACGTAGTTAGGCGATGTCTAATCTTCATTTCACCAATATGTTTTCGCCTACACATGTGTTACACAATATCAGAACGAGCAGTCCGTACGTGTTAAATACACTGGCATTAACGGGAGGTGAGGAGACCTTTCCCTCCCTGGTGTGCACTCAGCTGCACGGTCTGTACTTCACTGACGGCGCGTTGCAGACGGAGGAGCGAGGAGCAATAAATGAGACTCTGGATGGCCGTGATTCACACTCCTTTCCGACCTTGCAATCCAATTCCCGAAAGTTATGTCATGCTCCTTTTCCCCCCATTTCCCCATCCCCCCCAACTTCCCAGCGTCCCGTGAGTCAGGTAGTGCGTTGCTCTCCACACACGCAAACCCCACAATGCAGTGGGCCGCGCATTCCCGCTCGCATGTGGGTTTTTTTAGGCGGCCCGGGGGCAACGCTCCGGTCACCGTGGCGACTTACAGCTCGCCGGGCCCCGTCGGCCACGTTTTTGTGATCCCCCCCCTCCTCCCACACTGGAAACTACTTGCACCCCCGGACACATTACCCATTTATTACCCATTGGGGTCATCGTGGCCGCATCGCAGGGGTTAGAGAAGGTGTGCCGGGAAGCACAAGGTTGTTGGTTTGATTCTAGGCTGCCCCATGTTCCATGTCGAAGTGTCCCTGAGCAAGACACCTAACCCCTAATTGCTCCCTGGGCAAACATGTGAAATAGCCATGGGTTTAAAGTGTAATGTAAGTCACTTTGGATAAAAGCGTCTGCTAAATGACCTGTAATGTAATGTAATGTTATTATCAAATGCAAGCGATGATGGAAACGCCGTGCAGGAAGCCGACGCTTGGGTGGATTGGTGAGCGTAGAGACCGGAGGATGAGACCACGTTCATCACGGAGCGGTTTAAAAATGGGGACTAGGTAGATGTTGCATCTTGCCGAAACAAAACAACAAAATGAATGACAGAGATGAGAGAACTTGAGTGTATACGAGTGGACGGCAGGTGCCCGTCGGTATCATAATAGCCCTGACCCCCCCCCCCCCCCCGTTTGATTGCCATATTATCGAGTAAATGGGAGTCCTTCACACTCACACACACAGATAAGAGACAGATAAGAGAATAGCTGGTGAATGTGGTTGCGTCCTTTGCTTTCCTGCCTCTTCAGCACCACAGGGAGCAGAATGATGCCGGGCTGCTTTAATCTGCTTACATTGACTTTCCACTTCAGGAGAAATCATATGGCGTTAGGTGTGTTGCCAGCTGTAAAAAATTATACGTCGCCATTTAAATTCCTTTCTGGAGTTCCATCAGCTCATGTGGCAAACCACACCAATCTGTTGCCTAAATAGGTTAAAAACACACACATTTGGACCCCCCCCTTTTATACGGATCCAGTTGGTACAAACTAAACAAACAAAGCTGCTCCATATGTGGACGTGAAGAACGCAGAGAAATGCTGCAATGGGATTGGGCCCGGCAGCTTCCCCTGTCCTTCCTCATCAGTCTGACACAGTAATCACGGGTCTTAAACCCCCCCACACCCACCACCCCGAATACAGCCTTCTGATTGGCCCTAATTGGCTGCACATGTGGCCCCGGGGGTCACAGCTGACGGGACGCTCTCTCGCATTTTAACACAAATAAGGTACCTAGAATTAAGACACTCAAGTCCACCTGATACGCGCACATGCGAACGCATGCGTCATACACACACACACACACACACCCACACACGCATTAGAATATCCATCCTTCTAAACAGCCATTTCCCAAGTGTTCTGTGTGGTTCCTGTTCTCTATTCCTACGTTGTTGGGAGAAGCTGGTACATTACAGAAGACTTGCTTTCTGCTCGTCTAAAAATAATTGTCAAAAAATGCTGAAAAAACCTCTCGAAGCCAACAAGGCCGCCAACCCCACTTACGGCGCCAAGCTGTAAAAATGTGAAGCAGTGGGAGGGGAGACGGAGGAGTGCAAGGGGAGAGAAACCAAAGCACATAAATCACACTCTGCAGCACTGCATTATAATGACACGGTCACATAAACGTACGGGCCAAAACGGGACCGGTGCCGGCGCCGTGCCTCGCAGGGCCCCGGGCCGCCACGGGGAGCGGAGATACGAGGCGGGAAAAGAGCGGCCGTAACAATGGGCCGTGTTTACACTGGCAGAGCCCGGCTCTGTTTTCACTGGGCTCTGCAGACCACAGCATGTGTGTGTGTGTGTGTGGGACATGTGCTGACCCATGCAGAAAAGGGTTGAGACAAAGCCATGGACAAGCCATGGGTATAATGAAATATTAAACAGAGCTAAACCCGAGGTGAGATCAGACCTGGGTCAGTGTTTCAGGGCAAGACTCTGATGCTTGATCTGCTTTCGCCCAAAAAAACAGACAGCCAATTCTCTGTGAGCTTAAGTCTCAACGGGGGGGGGGGGGGGGCGTCTAAATGATTCTTTATCTTGGGTGAATCAAGAATTGCAACTTGACTAGTCATTGAGATTTACTGTAAGAGAGAAGGAGTGTGAAATAGTGCGTTCCAACACACACTCATGACCGGAGATGGCAAACATACATAGAGGTATTGTTCAAAATCTGAATTAAAAAAACAAATTAAATCGCCTCTGGGTAATTATTTTCTCCCAATGGGATAAAGAGCATTTTGGAAAAAAAAAAAAGGTGCAGTGAAACAATGTGCTGGCGTATGTGGGCACGCGTCTGAGCAAACGCGTCTGCTTTCAATCAGCACACAGCCAGAGCTCACTTAATCTACGGCATTAGAGCGCAGTCGGAGATCTAACATTCACCACTTACACACACACACACACACACACATACAGGCAGCGCCTCAAGAATTCAAAATCACTGTTTATAGATGCACTTAAGACTCGCAAAATGTATTCTGTTCTCGCTCTTTCTCCTGCTTCCCACTCAGACGAGCTCACATTCACAGGCCTATCGACCCCGGCTGAAGGTGTTGAGGTTCCTCTCCTCTCCTTTCTCCCCCTCTCACAGTATCCGGCTGACCGCAACCATGAGCTCATTTCATCGCCTTACAGACGGGTTGTGTCGTCCACGGACAGATACAAATGTGTATCGCTCGGATGCGGATGACACATATGTGAGGACGCAAACGTGCGAGTGGCACAGAGAGCCGCAAACCCCACTGACCCGAGTCGACCCGACCCGAGCCGACCCGAGCCGAGCCGTTACAGTCACGTTGATCAGCGCACCATATCTAAATGCATGCGTGCCGTAGGACCGGATTAACACACTCGTGTGCAGGGACCAGACTTTGTAATGTGAACTCTAGGGACCGGTGGTCTGCGCTGTGGGCTTTTTCTGGCTCTGCTGCATTTTAATGTTAGTGTGGGCAGTCTAACCTCTTTCTGTATTAGCTTTACTTGTGCGTGCGTGTGTGTGTCTGCCACAGAGTTACAACAATTTCCCAACACATACGGTTTGATTTACAGTCATTCTACTAAACTACGCGCGAGACGTCTGGATGATTTTCCTTTTTCATTGAATAGCACCGACAGAAAAAACAGATATGGATGATGTTTCAACTTATTGGACTTTCAAGAGGTCCAGTTTAAAATCCCTGTGGTTGCCTTTTAAAGTCTTTAGAGAAAATAAATGAGTTGGGAACATTAGCAGAAAACAAACAGCCATTAACGTGTCCTTTACGATGGAAAACCGACTAGAAAGTTCACTAGTGGTTTCCTTTTCTTAACAGGAAGTAATGAGAACTAAGTCTCCAATTCTGGAGGCCCGGGAACAATTCAGCATTGTTCTTTAGTCTCTTGAATGCGTAATCAAATCAGCGGTCTCAAGAAATCCAGCCGGGGAGGAGGTTGCGTTTGCCAGAGAAGAGACGCGCACACACACACACACACACACACACACAGATGCCACAACACGGGCAGCGAACGTAACCACTCTCGCTTCAACACAACCGTCAGTTAGACGACTCCAGAATCCCAGCTGTTTGGACTATTTAAAACATGCACACGTGCACACACAGTTGGCGTGTTTAACATGGACGCAGGGACGCGAATAGACGCCGTGTTGACAGAACGGGGGATCATAACAATCAGTGAGAAAATCCCTTGGTGGCAGGGCGTGGGGGGGGGCTCCCTCCGACCCCACACAGACAAGGATGCCACTGACACACAACCTAGTGCCCAACAAAGCCTTGTCGCATTGAACATTGAACACAAGTAAAATCATTTCGTCACCCGTTTGCTTCATTAAAAAATGAAGCTGTTTAGCCGGGCTTGACCTCTGACCCCGAAATGCCGCCCTCAGATCTCTCCGCTGTTTGTATTTCCACGCCTGTAAATGGGCCGGACGGGGGAGAGGCGCGTACATTGTGGAAGTCAGCGCTGCCTCATCGTTATCTGACGTCGCGTTGGGTCAACAAGGATGTGACCGACGCTGAATCATCAAACCGCCTGAACGCACTCCTTCATGTCGGCGTCGTGCGGTAACGGGATGCTGGGTTTTTGATTGGCTCGGAGAGCTGCTGAGGTGGTGAAAAGATCGCGATCTGTTGTTGCCGACGGAAAGAGGAACAGCTCGTGGCCGAATTGTTCTAGAGAGTCTGTCACATTCAGCCAGCATGTTCCAACATGTGTGCCGGCCGGTCTAAACAATGGTGCTATCTTTAGCAGACGGCAAACAGCTTCACAATCCCTTCACAATTTGGAATGATATCGGTCACAGACCACACAGTCTGGTCCAGTCTATGACTGGAAGGATAGCCACGACAGCTCCGCGACACGTTGACTTTACTTTTACATTACATTGGAAGCCATTGTGCAAAATGCCGAAGAATAAACCCGCAAAAAAAAAAAATGACAACAGAGTTGGTTTCAGCTTGTGTGTGTCATTACGCGCTCTGTGATTTGATGCACGCGGCAACATCCCCTCTTTATCATTTCAGTAAAACACTCCCACCTGCCTCATCCAGCGCGTGTCCATCAT